AACAACCCAATTTGGAATATATTGTCTAATCCTCTTAGGTGGATAGCGAACTTCTGTCGATGCAAATGCTTCCGCGGCTACAGACAAAGGGGTAAATGCAATGTGTTTTGAAGAAGATCGGTTGGGTATGCATGACCGGTGTAGGTAAATTCCTGATTCTCCAAAGATGGTACAGTTTGGCATACACTGAATGTTTTTGGAATTGCTTCAGCTGTATGTTATTCAGCTTGCTTCGTCAAGACATCGCATTTGTATGGCAACTGGAAATGAGCGAGCAATTTTAGTGCTGTAGGGTGCTTTTGGTTTTTTCTTCCATCGAGCTACTGTGGAAGGGTAACTATTTACCCACAGCGTCTGAACAATAAATTAAAATTCTGACTCCAAAGATTTCGGGCTGAATATGCAAAGAAACTAGCTGGAACGGGGTTGTGACGGGGCGGCTTTTGTACTAGAAAGGCCTGAAGCTACTGAACTGATCGTATAGTCCTACCCACGTGGTATTTCTGCAGACGGATAGCTGTGTGGAACCGCCTGCATTTCTTTTCAATAGCACATCCAAAAAAACGAGATATTTGTTTACTAGTTCAAATGTAAAAGCGGTATTCGGGTGTACGTTTTCCGCTTCGAAAAGAGATTCTGCGGCACCGATGTTTTGGGCGATCACCGAAGTGTCAGCAACGTAACATGAAGTATAGGCATATGTACCCAAGATTTGATTCATGTGATTCAACCATTGCCATGAAGATTTCCGCCAGTGTACGGCAGAGTGGACTTCCAAAATCAACCCCGTCCACCTGTCAGAAAGACTCACTTTCGAACAAAAAGTGAATATTTTCCGTGTATAGCAGAATTAGAGCATTCACTTATTCTACGGGTTTTAGCAAGCTAACTTTCTTCATCGCCACGAAATTACCTGTTATCTACCGTCACACTTAATGGACCATAAGTAACATGTGATTAAACAGTTAGACAGCCAATACCTTATCGGAAACATACGTACATTGCACGTGTACGGTCAATTCGAAGGTGGCTTTCAAAGTATGTTACACGGTCATCTGCTCTATTGCTACTAGTATTCCAACTAACCAACGGGCCAGATTGTGATAGGGAGGAATAACCATGGTTATCACTCTCGTCCTGAAGGACAGAGTGTACATTGCAGCGGTACGTTCGACCACACTGTACGGTTGTGAAACCTGGACCCTTACATCAGTGGACACAAAGAGGATAATTACGTTCGAAAACCGGAGCCTTCGCAGTTTACCTCATGTCTAGTTGGAACACCAAATATTATTATTATTATTCACGTCTGTAAACAGACAAAGGCGTCATCCGAACCATGGTGGTATGGAAAGAAGAATATAATGTTCAACGAAGAAAAAGAGTAAAACGTTAGCAAAATGTTTTTTTTCCAGTCCTACACACACCATTTTGAGTTGCTATACTGTCTTCATGATTTGGTAAGCATTAAGAAACACAAAATAGAGAGCTGATAGAACAACATTGCCACCACTGACTCCTATTGCGGGCCATATCCTACAAGACTTTCAACTATTTGGAATCCGTTTCACATGGTCCCCAGCCTGGAAAACGCACAGATCCAACTGACGCTAGACACGAAGTTAGGATCTTCATACTCCTTTTACAGGTCATCGGTTGTCCGCCGCGGCTAATTTTCTATTCGCGTCCAGGAAGTGCACATAATGTGCGACGTGAAAGGCAGTGGGCCGGCATGCGCAGTACCTGACCAAGCTAATGCAATTTGTTCTGGATGATTATGTTCTGGAGACCATGACTGTCCGCACTTATGATTCTGCTTCTAACTTCCACGTTGCTCACATGATGCTGCCACCATACTCGAGCCATCGAACGCAGGCAGCGGTTGTCGAAAGTAGATAATCGCCTCCAAGCTTCTGATCGCACTAGCCAGGACTCGTAACATTACAGTAGGACCGTACGGAGTGTAACATTGTACGCACGGTCTTTGAGCTTGAGACTGACATCACGACGACGCCACAAGTGTCTCAGGTGGGTAAATGCGAGGCAAGCTTTGGCAATTCGTTGTGAAATGTCATCGCGAATACCGCCACCAGCCGTAATGCAACTCCCGAGGTATGTAAAGCTGTTAACGAGCTCCAGGCTGACACCCGAAATGGTGAGCGTAGGCACAGGAGCCTGCCAAACCTAGAGCACTTTTACACTTGGATGGAGCAAAATACAGACGGTAGTTAGATGCCTCTATCGCTAAGCGATTCAGACTGTTTTGAATAATCTGCGAGTCGTTCCCCAGCAAAGCGATTTCATCAGCATAGTCCAGGTCCACGACTCTACTCCAGGGTAGAAGCTCAGCGCCGCAGCTCTAGGCTCCTTCTAGTGCGTGATGTAGGACATCTTCAATGGCGAAGTTGAACAGGAACGGCGAGATAGGACAAGCTTGCGTACTCCACTGGTAATGAAAAATGAGGAAGAAAGCCTTCCATAAGTTCTATCATTGCCAAGGGTGTGACTATACAGCTCTTTCAAGAGTATGACAAACTGATCGGTCATGCCGTTCCGTAGCAGACAGTTCCACAGTGACGATCTATCTACTGAATCAAAAGTGGCTCGGATATATAAAACACCACCATTGTTGGTCTTCGGTGGACATGACGATGTTCGAGAATTTGACACAACGTGAAAATTTGGTCAATGCAACCACGGCCAGAACGAAAGCCAGCCTGTTCCTCACGACACAAACTCTCGCGGTTGACTGAGAGCCTACGCAGCAGAATAGACACAAAGAGCTTGGACGCGCCAGAGATAAGTGAGATTACTCGATAATTGGTGCATTCACTATGAGAGCCTTTCTTGTGGATCGGAACCACAATATATTCTCCCCATGAATTAGGAACCTTCTCATCGCTCCATACCTTCGTGAACAGTGATAGAATTTCGGTGACATCTAAGTTCCCCAATGTTTGAATTAGGCCGGAGGAAGACTGTCAAGGCCAGGAGCTTTGTGGCTTTGCAGAGTCTGGAGTTCTCTCTGTATTTCTGCTTCAGTGGGAGGATCTATGCAGACTGACCAAGGATAACATGATAGCAGTAGATGTGCCACCGGAGCGTGTGTTGGGCAATTAGACTGTAGAGCAAAGTGCTCTGCCCAGCCATTCATGCGTCTGCGTAGGTTGGTGATCCTTGTACCGTCTGACTCACAGATAGTCTGAGTGATGGTCTTAACTTTGCTTCCCGTCGCTCTGATAAAAAATACCTGCGGCTATTACCAGTAGAGGCAGCAAATTCCATTTCGTTAACCAGTTTAGACCACCAGGATTCAAGAGCACGGCGAGGACTCACTTTCAGTTGTCTGGAAATAGAACGACGGAGTTCAGTGTGCTCTACTCTAACGGGTATAGTCCACCGATAGTCGAGAAGTTTCGCGGAGGTACCAGCGACCCAACTTTTAGTTGTGTAAGCAACAGGACCGCAACTGGATAAACATGTCGAGAAGATAACCTGTTACAATCGCGACCAATTGTGATCAACGTCCCGAGAAGGCGGAGAAGTGTGGCTCTCACGAAGCTGATTTTGATATTCCAATTGTACTGCGAGGTCTTCGAGTCTACCAGGGTTACTTCGAGTTGGTCTAATCCTGAGCGAGCCACAGAAGGGCATGCAAAACGACGCACGCACTAGCGCAAGGCGTGTTCGACGCCTTGATTACGGCGCAGGAAAAGGAACTGAACCGCTCAGCACCGTTATTTCACGCACCAGACTGTGATGCCTGGGCCAAGTGTTAGGCGTGTCAGCCCACTGGCTCCCGCAACGTGCGCTGTTTGCGTGCCGGGGGCTTGGATGGAAGAAGAGGAGGGGTGGCCATGCGGAGACTTTGTCGAGGGGAATGAAGGCCCCCCTCACTTCGAAGTTAACCTCGGTTGGCGCCTCTCGGCTCCCTGGTTGGGGTCTGAAAGACGATGAACACGTTTGGCTGGATATACTTGCTGATATGGTTAGGAACCGACCTCAGAGGTGTTGGTGCTGTGAGCTTCTTTGTCTCACCCCACCCTTCTTAGCCTCTACATCCAACCAGCATCTCACTAGTTAGCCTTATATAATTTTGCAGCAATTTTTTGGCTACATAGGAGCCGGCTGGTAGCTTACCGGAACGATGCCCATCCGTTACTGTTAGCTCAGCTTGTTGCATTTTTTCCATTCTTTTCTTTGTGTATTGCGGCACAGTAGGTGAGGTTGTTTCCACCTCTGGCTAACGTATCTAACGAATGAATGAGTGAATAAATAAATGAACCATGGACCGTGCGGGACTAAACTGTGTGTTAGCTTTGTGAAGTTTTGGTGGGCCATGCATTCGGTTGGGTTGAGCATGTCTTACATGGTGTCCGTTGGCTTACCGGGTTGCAGCACTATTTTCAGTTCGCACTTAACCCAAGTTTTCAAGTTGGGTTACATTTGTTCCACATTTTCTCTCTAAAATCTGCATTTGTTACTCAAATTTCCACTCATCTCGTTTATTTGGTTAATCACATCCATGATGAAAACTCCAGTACGTTTGGTTTCAGATCAATCCCTTCTTTAATGTGATGTTTAGGTAGATTGACAGTTTGGTGAAACAGTACGTTAATGAATATGTTTGCAATGTCAACTAGGTTCCCTTTGACTCAAATTTAGCCTACTTAAGTAGATGACAATTCCCTAAAATAAAAGAGATTTTCCCTAATGTGATCATACACGGGTCAAGCTTACAGGCTCCATTTTAACACTGGCAGGACTAAGTGAATCGTTAATAAAATGACCCATATGTAAACCCTAGTTCATTGTACGGAATTTTTCCCATTGGACACAATCATGGAATTTTGGTAATCACACGCCCATTTTCATTTCTGTGCGTTTCATACAGTTCATTAGATGCGAATTTAATTGCCAGAATTATGAACGCCACCGGAGTGAATCAATATTTCAGAAACATAAAATTCTTCGGGTTAAAAAATACACGTTATACTTACGATTTGACGTTGTTGCACAATAGTATCTGCTTCATCCAACATTCGGATTAAAGATTCTGGAATCATCAATCCACATGGCCCTGGTTTTCTACCGCCCCATACCGAGGTGATGGTGTAGTCAGCGGGGCCAGGCCCAGTGTCTTTCATAGGGGGAAAACGACGGGCTCTGTCATCGATAGTGGATCCACCCTAAACAAAAGACGGCAACAGTATGTGATACGATAAATTAAAAACAACTGCATCATAATTGCTGCTAAAAGTGAAAGTTGTGTAATCCCCACTCAAGTTGTTGATATTTTAATTTGTCATTGTGCTGCACGAGGAACTGGAGCATGTACCGTAGCACTGCCTAGGTTCAGCATACGGATAATAGCTTCAGCAATGCTGAAAAGGCTGGGAGAACCTACGAAATAGGAAGGCCATTGTTGAGGTAGAATGCTAGCATGGTACTTAAACTGAGTTCAGAAGATTCAAGCAATTAAAAGGAAAGGAAATAAAGACGTATAAATATTGTACTTGGCAAAAAACTGGGATCAAACCATATAATGTCATTTACAGTAGTATCTTATGACAGCGTGATCCCTGACAGTCTAAAATCTCAGCAGAAGCGGTAGGTGAATTCAGCTACCACACACAAATCGCTACTTCATCCGTGCTGGTGATATTAACGTGACTGTTAACGAACTGTCTACAACCAACCGAACTTGTGGAAACGCGATCAGCTCAGCTAGGGAAGAGTTGGAACATTTTGCACCTGTTTCATTTCATAATGTACGCTTCGGCTCGCTGTTTTAGTGTATTTGTGACTAGACAACACGAAGTGAAGCAGCTTGTGGATGTGTTAGGACAAGCAGTGTGGGCGGATTTAGTCTTATCACTACTATTTTTGACCTCAGTAGTAACATTGCAGTGTGCAAAACAACCAAGCGTAGTTAAACAAAATTGTCTAAAATTTCGGCTAAGACTCGGATTTGGCTAGAGCGTTAAATAAAGTGTGACGGCGGGGCCTTCAAATTCGGCCGTGCTTTATGATTCCTGTCCACCGTATTTATCAGCACAAACGCTCAAATTCATTACTTTTTATCCCCTTGTTTTAACTTAGCAGTTTTTCATTGCGAGTATCGCTTCATTATTTCCTAGGCGCGCGATATTTTAAAAAGTTTGGGTGTTTCCATGAAGGAGAACCCCGAGCATTTTACTAGTCAGTCTGTATGGAACAAATGGAAAAGGATCGAAAGAAAACGAAGCAGTTCCACCAGAAAGCACCGCGCAAGATGGCGGGTTGCACTTTGAAGGAAAAATCTCGGCCGTATGAGTATAGCTATTTTGATCAGTGCCAACATCCGTTCGATTGTGAACAAATTAGAAGAGCTTAAACTTATAAGAAGCTGTTGCGAATACTACCTACTCGGTGTCATTAGGCTACAAGGACGTAGAAGATACACTTCTGGCACTTGACGGATTTACAATGCATCATGTTGACCGGCCAAGTGCACACAGTCACCGTGGCGGTGACGTATCACATACATAAATCCTTCATAGTGTAAGTTGCCAAAAATTATTTTTCGCCATTACGCGCAGCGTATTAGCTGTTCGCTTGTGAAATGCATGCCTCGATACTTGAGTGGCTATCGTTCGATTCTATTAGCCGACATTCATACTTCTCCCAAACGCCCTATAGCCGATGCTGAAAACTCTTATGACGATTTTACATCTACCGTCATTGAACATCTAGATTTTCCTCTGTGTGTGTTTGCCGGTGACTTCAATAGATTCCATACTAGTTTTATTACCAAAGTTGGACTGAAGCGGATGCAGTCTGCAACAAGGATACAAGCAACCTTAGACCTAGTGTTTGTTAATGACTTAAAAACATTTTTCTGTTTGTACCAAGGCACCGCTTGGAAGCTCAGATCATACGACCATAAAGTTGTTTCCCATAACCTACGGCAAAATGAATTACAAAAATATTATTCGCTGCAAAGATTGCAAGTTAACTCAAAGACGATGTCTTCCCCGAACTTTGAGCCACTACGCGAAGCTATTCGCCTCCACAGCCTTCAATATATTTTGCAACTTTAACGTATCGAAGTACGGTGTTCATTTAACCAGCCAGTTGAATATTGCTTTGAAATTTGTTGCGCAATGGAAACCTTTTCATTCGCGCAGATAAGTTTTCATCTCCGTGCCTTAAAAGATTGCTCATACTCAAAACAAAAGCTTAAGCGCGCAAAGACACCGCTACAGTAAAGTTCTTATCGGGCTGATATAAAAAATGAGATGGGCCACCTCAACAATATTTATATTCAAACAATACTTGGAAAGAATAATTGCCGAGAAATATAAGGAATGATGAAGAACCTGAGTGGAGTCGTCAGCGGTGTCACACACTACTCTTGAGGTGGAGGAATTAAACCGCGACTTCTGTGGTCATATAAAGGATACAGCATTGCATTTACCAACTTTACGATTGCAACTCTCCCCACAAAATTCACCACCCATCGATAGCGTAACAGTTCAAGAGGAATTAACACGGATATAGTCGTTCAAACCGCCTGCAACAGACGGACTATCTGATATAGTCATCAACAAATGTGCCAGTCTTAGCACAGCCTTTTTCTGAATTCTACACCATATGCCTACATCAGCACAAGATAGCCGACTGCTGGCGAAGCGCCCGCATTACACCTATGCCAATAAAACTCACCTGTAAGTATCGGTCAATTACTTGTATATCCGTGGCTTTGAAGACATTAGACCGAATCATACTTGATAGAATGCTTGTCCAAACCCACTTGAATGATCTGTTTCAGTTCGCCTATCGTAGTTCAAAGTCTACTTTGGATGTATTAGCCTGTCTTGTACACTCTCTGCTTTCATCACTCGATAGAGGAAACAAACCCACACGGATCTGCTTCCTAGATTACAGCAACGCTTTCGGTTGTTTAAACCTCGAGCTTCTGTTACACGATCTGCTAGTTTACGGTGTTCAACCTCCATTAGTATATATTCTTACAGATTATTTTTCCCATGGTGTGCCATTTACCAAGATTGGGGTGAAAAGCTCTTTCTCACTTACCACAAATTCATGTGTTCTTCAGGGAGCTATTTTGTCCCCATTCCTATTTTCCACCTACATTAACTTCCTTCCCGCTCCGAAAGTAGCCATCCTACTAAAGTATGCTGTTGAGGTGATGCTTGGTGTACACAGTCACACAGATTGATAGGCAAGTTTGCAATGCTTCTTGGACAACCCCACTTTCTGGTCCAAATCTCGCTGTCTTTCGCTCAACGCAACAAAGTGTAAAGATGTTATCATCTTGCTGGCGAAGGAGTTGTTATCAGCAGCTCCTGACGCCCACCCCACGTCTTAGTATTGATAGTGTCGGTCTAAACTTCTGTATATTAGTAAAATATCTCGGAGTGACACTAAGGCGGGATTCCACTTGATCGCATCACTTGCATGAAACATTCACTAAAGTCAGGAGACCAACGTTCTACGTCTCTCGACTTAGGTCATCATGTGTGCCTCCTTATTTACTTCTATGTTTTGTCACCGCTTGCGTAATACCGCACTGAAGGCATTGCTCACCTCTGATATTTCCGAGACTCTTAACCGGGCAATTCAAAGCGATCACCAGGTCGCTGAAGCAGCTTGCTCGATGCAGCGGAATTTCTATGTTAGTGTTTCTTAACATTACTGCGTCCAATCATCTTCGCTCCAGCGAACAACTGGCGTCCAACATACTGCGGCCAGTCATCCACTGCATTATGCACTGTCGGAATGTATTTCAACTTCTTCGACCAGACGAGCGTACAAAGCCATTTACTCCCGCACGCATCATCATCAGTATCCGTTAGCTGAGGGTAAGAAACACAAGTCAGTTTATGTGCCGCACCGCCCGCACACGGACTTAAGATCTGTCAATTGTTCCCTATTTGTCATGTTTGCTGAGGGATCAAGATGCAGTCAAACAAGGCCTTATTACCAGACTGTATCGATGATAAGGCCAATGCTACATTTTTCAACTGTTGACGCACCATATACGTTTGTCATCTGTAAGTAGCAGGGAGATCTTCTTTTATGTTTGCTTCTATTTGTGCCTTTAGCGTGTGGGTTATAGCTGAATATCCCATCTTTATGGGTGAATAAAGCGCATTGTGGACTTCACTTTACCAACAATGCAGGCAGGCGTGATTACTACGGGAAGTTTATTACGATCAGCTAAATTACTCATAATATTACCCCTCCGTTTGAACATTTTCTGTTAGGTTAAAAACACGTCTGTTGCCTCCAGAATATTCCGGTAAAATTGGGTGAAAGAGATGAGCTGCAGTGCAAAATGTCTCTTAAAGATTGACAACAAAAATAACTTTTAAGAGAGGTACATCGCAGCCAGTTTCCAAATCAGATAGTCGTCTACATGCCCGGAAAAGCACTAGACTGCAGTTTCAGCCTGTTGAGCATCGTCAGTAGTGCGCAGCCATCGGATCCATCATGATTCGAACCCATGACCACCAGCGGCTTGAACCGCCAGTCAGCAACATATGCCACTGAGTCACGGGGGACAGCTTCAGACCGTCATGATTTACAAGCTAACTGCGATATAGCGCGTCTTATCCTCCACTGCCATGCAAGTTATGAACGTTGCAGAGGGCAGGGTTGGCCCCAAAAGACCCGACGTCCACTAACAGTAGCTATGTACGACATAGTATCAAAATACATACATCAAAATCCACTACTCATGGGTACATGAAAAATAACTTTGATAAACCGCATTGCCATTTATTCAGATAAACAGTTGAACCCAATATTTATGGTCATTCACCATAGGTGCCAGTCGCTATATCGTCGGATGAGCCGTCCAAATTTTGTCGTAAGCAAAAAGATGCTTTTTGCGTAAGCTCCTATAGCGAAACTTTAATAGTCCTTCAAGAGGCACAGCTGTTACGAGCAAACATGCTTGCACCATTTGAAGTTTCCCTGTTGGGTATGCCACATAGATGAAGCGGCACGTCGTACTGAATACTGAATACTGTATTATAGAGCAAGTAGAAATGGATTCTGTACAACTCTTTCGAAATATGGCGAAAAACGTTATAAAAGTTGTCAACCTTGAATATCATTGTCGTTCTCATGTAATATTTAAAATAATCGACTTACGATATTTCAGGATTCATAAATGTGA